CACACACACACACACACACACACACACACACACACACACACACACACACACACACACACACACACACGCACGCACACCCACCCACACACACACACAAATAAAAATAAAAAAATCAATGAAAGAGTAAAATAAGAAAAATTTTAATTTTATGATTAAAAAAAAGAAAAAGAAAAGTTATGATCTTTGCTATCTTGAAATGCAATACCACAAGGAAAGACAATGTTGTTCAATTGCGACTGCAATGAAAGAGATTGGAAAGAGAAATAGACAGGAAGAAGAAGAAGAAGAATATCAAATGTACACCAGCAAAGACCAATATCAAATTCCCACTCAACTTGACATCAACCTCCTTATCTCCCCCAGCCTCTTCAATACAATACATAATGATAATAAATAACAATGAAAGAATGAACCTGAACCAATGTCTGAATCTCCTTCTTACTGCTAGTAACACATGAGGTCCACCATAGCCATGACCTACACCTTCTTCTACGTCCTTGTGGTAGGTGGCTATGGCAGACTAGCGGAGCCCTGCTCCGATGTTCAAAGGACAACGCAAAGCTGATGTGTCGTCTCTACTATGGCCGCCATGCCCATATCTGCCCCGAACTCTTCCTTGATGAAGTCTACCCCTTCTAGGGCCTTCCAGATGCAGCACCAACCAAGAAGATGAAGATGTGGTGCACCATAGCCAGGTAAGCACCTCCGACACTCTCCTTCTTGCTCACCTTTTTCCACCCCCTTCTCCTACGCCCTGGAGCCTTCCTCCCTGGACCACTCCACCATAGCCGAAGGTGGAGGACCAGGCCGCCTTCTTCCTCCCCAGCGCTGGACTGGCCAAGTGTTCGCTCCAGCAGCATGACACCGAACTTGCACACTGCAAAAAATTGAGGAGGAGCACTTTGCTCCGCCGAATGATGTACCGAGCAGCTGGCCCCTTGGGCGGTGACTTTCCAGGCTGCTCGGCCTCCGAAGCATCCGGTACCTTCCAACTTTTGGAGGGAAACATCATTGCAGGTCTGATATCCTTTGCTACAGCCCCTAGACTCAGACTACTGAACCGGTACTCCTAGACCTAAGCCTACCGGACTCGTAAAGTTCACTCGGCCTCTAAACGTACTAACTTTTTGTCTTCTTCTGCCTACCTACCGCTACGCAAGTGTTTTCTAACCGAAGCGGGCCTATAGCCTACCCGCTACTTGAGTGTTTTTCAGCTACACGGGCCTAGCCTCCCGCTACACCCATTGCAACCCATGAAGGCACGGCCACAGGTAAGTACCAGGCCCGAGGGCCTTCCAAGCACACAACTACCCTCACGGGTCACACAACAGTGACAACACTCAGGCAATCATGCACTCAGGCAAATGTACGGAACCTAGCAAGCGCGCACATACACAGACTTAGGGATCTCAGTAGAAAGCGGGAATCTCAGCAAGTCACACATTCCAGCGGCAAAACTCATAACTCAGCAAAGTTCTCAGTCTCAGGGGACAGTCTGATTGATCTCCTCACCTGGCCATTGGCTTCGGGATGTCAACAACATATCATGTTCAACCTCATGCCGCAGAGTTGAGTGGTGGTCTTTCCAATCTGCACTGATGAACTGGGTGTCACGATCACTCAGAAGGGGCTTTCATAGTAGTGAAAGCCCTTGGAAAGGTTGGGTCAAGAATGGTGTGCTCCGAGTCAAGGATATATGGGACCAGGAAACCAAAGACTGGCTGTCAGAGACCAGACTTAAGAAGAAACTGAAATACTGCCATAAGGTGGGAGAAGCGTTGGAAACCATCATCTTTGCTATCCCCCTCGATTGGATTCGAATTTTGAGGAAAGCACCGGTGGTGATAGAGGGAGACTGGGTGGGGTTCTCAGGTACCAAGGGACTGGTTGGGAATGTAGTATATACCCGCAAGGCTGGCAGGGGGGAGGAACAGGAAGTGGTCGCCAATCATTTCAGAATAAAATCTGATAATGTGCTAGAACGGGTACAGCCAGAAGTGACAGCATGGTACCCGAGGTCAGGGCAATACCGTATACGTGTCCTAAAAGAAGAAGACCAATGGCGAGTCTACAAGCCGGACAAATCAATCCAAGAGCTTCCGTTAGACCCCGACGAGTGGATATGGACTCAGCAATATGGGAGGGGGAGGTCCAGGGTGAGGCGGCTGCAGTCTCTCTCAGTTAAGGCAATCTACCGAATGTTGCGTCCAAGAGTAAACCTGGAAGACGTGGTGGAGGCACGGTGGATGAAACACCTAAATGTGGGGTGAGACACGCTGCGACCGGTTAGATGGTTTAAGGCAAGCAGGTCCATGCCGGCGAAAATGGCCTCACTTCAATGGCAGGGGCGACATCGAGTGGAACAGAGGGATTGATAGTGGGGGATGGCGTGGTAAAGTTTTCTCTTGGGAGAGGGAGGAACTGGTCTCTCAGCAGAAAGTATCTGGCGCCTGGTACAGGGCGAAGAAGTTTTTTCCCTTTTTCCAACAACCTGCACAGTCAATCCTCTGGAGGACAGAGTAATCGATCCTGGCAGGGGCCTTTCTCAGTTACGTTGTCTGATATTTTCCTGATTCGTTCTGTGTAAGGGACGCTGGACCCATTTTCCAGCAGGTGATGCTCCCCACCAATAGATGGACCCTCTCCCCGGGTGCTAGTGCTGCCTGCTTTTACCAGCAGCACTAGCACTGCAGGGGGTGTTTTGTTTATAGAAAAAAAAAAAAAAAAAAAAAGGAATATATTTCTCTTCGAACTTGAGAATGACCAGATCAGTACGCGCACAAGGTGGCAAGGGAGTCAGATTCAGAAATTTGGAGAAGCGGTCGATGATCACCACGACTTGCGAATTCCCTCTCTTACTTTCCTCGATGATCACCATGACTTGCGAATTCCCTCTCTTACTTACCTTTCCCATGTCCGTGAAATCAATGGAAACCGATTCACTGGGACCGACAGGGATGGGGAGAGGTTTCAGTAGGCCAAGGGCCCTTTTCCTAGGAACCTTAATCGTTTGAAGGACTCTATGATCTTGGCTGTTGTGAATGGGTTTATCGATTGCGATGGATGGAAGCAACTTGAGTAGTCTTGCACATCTTTCTGTAGTGTTTTTGTCCTTTCATTTTGAATGTTAGTTGGGAACTTGGGAAGGAACCATTTGCAGTTTGTCTTTTCCTTTCACTACTGCAGGGATAGATTGGGGACCAAGGTGAGACTCTTCTTGGTTGGACTGGGTCATTGGCCTACGTGGGACCTTTTGGTACCCAGTGGGACCTGGTCCAATGGAGTAGAGCCCCCTTGCTACCAGATCTAAAGCTCGACAAGCATTTCTCTATCTTGCTGGAAGGAGGGGGCGCACTAAGGATGGGACGCTCATTCTTGACTATGTTTTTCTGCAAACGCTGACGTGCAGTCCATAGCCTGGCTTGCAACCGTCTACTCCACTTGAGTCTCCATTACTTCAGTTAGTTGTTCCTTGTATATGATTCGCAGTTCTTTTCACCGAGCTGTGTTAGATTAAGTAGGAGGGATCTCATGCTTGATCAGACCGAAATAGGTCGCTGAATCACACCTCTCTTGTTGAATTATTAAAATTTTTCAACTGTTTGTTTGTCACTTCTCCAGTCCAAATGAATTGTTGCTCCGGCTAGGAGTTCTATCCTCTCCTCTATGTGCTTTATTTGTTTCTTCATTTGAATTGTTCCAATGCCCGTTGAGACTCGATTTCAGAAGACCGAGAGAGAGAAAGGAGAGAGAGGGAGTGCTAGTCTTGAGTGATCAAGGACTGGGAAGAGGAGCGTTCATCCAAAAGAGAGAGAACCCTAAACCCTAAACCCCTCTTGAGAGTCTTATTAAAAAAACTTCTGACTGGCACCTATGTGTCCAACCTGCTACTAACAGTGGGTCCAGCATGGCACTGATGTGGAACCCAACGTATGGAGTTCGATAGAACTCCAACTACTATCATGTCTTGGATCAGCTCCATGAGATCATATTTTGAGGTGCTGCGGAGTCCGCCGGCAACTCAATCTATATGGTCATGGGCATCAACGTGCAATCCAACGTACAGAGTTTCATAGAACTCCAACCTGTAGAGGCAGGTCATCCAAGGATACACGTGACCAAATGGTTGAAGGTACATCAGTAGCCACGCTCGAGAATCTCTTACTTAAACAATATAATGATCCACACATTGTTGCCAAGGCAAGAAAGAAGCTTTTTTTTTTTTCTTTTTTTTTTCTTTTTTTTTTCTTTTTTTTTAACGCACCCTCGGCGGTGCTAGTGGTGCTGATAAGAGCAGACACCGCTAACACCTGGGGGGGGCGCTCCATCTACTGGTGGGGAGCGACACCTGCTGGAAAACGGGTCCAGCGTCCCTTACATAGACAGAATTCGAAACATATCAGAAAAACAGAGATGCGGGATATTCCTGCCAGCATTGATTACCCTGGAGTCCAGGGGATTGATTAAGCAGGATGTTGGGAGGGGGGAGAACCTCTTCACCCTGAAACTGGCGCCAGATACGTGCTTGCACCATGGGAGCGTCAGGCCTTTCTGTTCCGATCTATTAGCCAGTCATTGGTGGGGAGGCAGCAGTGTTCTATTTGCCACTGTAGTGAGGCTAGCTTTGCAGGCCTGGCTCGCGTGAGGGTGAACCACCGAATGGTGCGGATGGCGTCGACCCCCACATTCAGATGAGACCTCCAACGGGCCTTGACGATGTCTTTCAGGT